AAAAAAAACTGAAACTTTCAGAATAAACTAACGGGTGATCCAAAAGTTTCCGGACAAAATGTTTGCTCATTTTAGACCCACTCGAAAATATCTCAGACGAGTCGAAACCTATGGATTAGAACCAGAATTTTGTGCTCTTTCAGAATATGGGTTTAGAAATTTTGTGTCAGTTTTTGTTCGAGAGTAGTGAGGGAATCTTTAAAAGACCTGAAAAATTAGTTTGGACGGGAAATTTTTTCGCACTTTTTTATACTTTAACTATTGCGATTCGAAACTAAAAGTTGGAACCTTTATTACTCGATCAGCTGGTAGAGCAAAATCTGCCCTACAAAATGTACTATTGAAGTTTTTTTGGTTGTTAGGCAAGACATCTCAATTTTCGTTTTTCCTATACTCTCATTTTCGAGAAATCGACTTTTTGACCAAGAGGCGTTTTCCACAAAAAGTAGCTCCTGACAAAATACATATAACTTCACTTCTGTAAAAGCTACAACTTACTTCAATATCACATTTTGTAAATAAGTATCCGCTCTACAAAACTATCGTGTTCGATAACTTTTAGCATCTTCGAAAAGGGATAGATATGGGTTAAGGAAAAGCTGTTTATGCGTCGTCCAAATTGATTTTTCAGGTCTTTCAAAGATTTGTTCATTGCTCTTGAACAAAAATAGATACAAAATTTCTAAGCCCATATTCTGAAAGAGCACAAAATTCTGGTTCTAATCTATAGGTTTCGACTCGTCTGAAATATTTTCAAGTGGGTCTAAAATGAGCAAACAATTTGTCCGAAAACTTTCGGATCACCCGTTAGTCATATTAAGAACCTTATATATGCAAAGTTTTGAGTCAAAAGTCACCTATTAACATGACCTAAAGACGACTAGAAGATATCGTTGAAAAATTCAGTAAAATGTTATATCATAAGGACGAACTCATAGAAAATCAAATTATGCTAAATTTTTTCAATGCTTGACAGCACTCAATGAATATAGTCTTGATCGAGAAACGATTTAAAATCTGGAGATGTTCCCTCAATAAATTATCAACGGTTTCCGATACGAACTCCAAAAATTGGAAACTTTTTATGAATTATTTTTAGAACGAAATAATCGATATACAAATCTAAAAATATATATATTTGAGCTTATGTTGTCTGTTAAAGAGTTAATCGATCTGAAAGATAAGTAATTATTTTACAAGTCATTAGTATATTACTAGTAGTAGGTTTGTAGCCCTTTTGGAGCGGAAAGCACTTCAGGATGTGAAAAATGCCTATCATATATTGTAAACATATAGCCCTGAATAAAATGTACTATATCTAATGAATATAATTAGAATTTCAATTGAAAAATCCATTTTATTTGTAGGGCTCTATTAGTGATGTTCATCTATTTTACCTGATTTGTACTGACTGATATGAGATGATTAGTCGCTTGTAATCAGAATCGAAGGTGTATCTAAATGCAAATATTTAGTAGTTTTAATGCACGCTACCACTTAGGTTCAGATGTCAAAAATCGGTTTTGTTGCCTGGCTCTCGATAGTGCGTGACACTCCTAGTATGTATACTTTGTTATTTTTTCAATAATACTATAATTTATAGATTTGTTGTTTTTTTTATGGATTATATTTTATCACAATCATTAATATTTATTAATTATTTTATTCTACATTTTCTTGTTTGAAAACTCTTATTGAAGCTGTCTATTTTAATATAAATACTTATGTGTAATTGGAAATGATATCTTTGACCATAAGTTTCTTTTCATTTGTATAAGATAATCGAAAAATAATGGTGAAAGTATTTTAATTTCTTATCAAAAGCTTAAAGAAATTTTCTCTGTATATAACCTGATAGTAAAAAGTAATTGATGAATTTGTTTCTGTATTTATTTTTGCGTTCTACTGCAACTTATTTTTATATACCGTAATATGTATGGAAGAAGAATAAAGGTAACGTCAAGAAGGGAATACACATAAACGATAAAATATGATCTGATATTACCATCACATTTTATAACAAAAACATCTTTTCGATTGTTTTTTTTAACATACAATATCTATAGGAAAAGTATATTTGAGCTTTTTCATATGGAATTAAACTACCTCTATCACTACTTTTCGATTACCAGAAATACATTAATAAATTAATAGAAAATAAAACAGAAAACTATTCTCAGATTATTATAATGTGTAAACGTCTAATTAATAAAATTAGATTGATTTATTCAAATAATTCTAATTGACTTATGCCTTTAATATATCTATGATTAGAAGAATCAAAATAAAATATCTTACCAGTCAAAAGATCCAGTACTATTCCATCTTGAACATTATATAAAGCAAGTCCAGTTAAATTAGGATAATTCGTAGCAAGTAGAATACATTTGATTGAAATTGGTTCAAGATTAAGGCATTTGACTTTATGATAAATTTTAGGTAAGATGTGTGAACAAAATCGATCAAGTATGTAATCCGGTAATGGAACAATAAAACCATCTGTTGTAGATGCGTACAAAGTCAAACGATTCGTAAAAGCAGTATCATGTACAATTTTATTTAATCGTTTATTAACATCTATTAAGGAATAAAGTACTGCCATATTAGTCAATTTTTTAAAAATAATCATAAGAATTTCATCAGGTAAATCATTTAATTGAATACATGAATTTTCCATTTTTATTTTCAATGTATTTATTCGTTTAACTTATAACTGTCAATATTCATATAGATAAACTAATGTGTTGTATTTGGCCGATATCGTCAATGAAAATAATGATCTATTTTTCTTTAATTTGAACTGTCAACAAATGAAAGTATAGTTGATAGAATGATATTTTTTTTTCTCTCTCTGTCTCTTTGTTCAACATGCACGTCAATATTTAGAAAATTTTATTTTTTTGACATTATTATGAACAAGATTACATAGCAATGGTTTTGTTTTGTATTTTAAAGGATTTCTTTTGTGGTTTGAGTTAATAATCACTCTATCCAAGTTCGACGTTAACATTAGACGAAATTATAACTTCGATAAAAAAATTTGTCGAAGTTACTTCAGTTGAACTAAATAGCAAATAAATATCGATTAGTTTATAATATTAAAAACAATCTGTAAAATTCTAGTTCAGTTTTCATTTTAAAAACATTTTATCATTTCTTTACGAATAAACATGGAAGAAATTAGCCAGAAAAATCAAGAATTACTTTTGTGGAACTCACAGATGTTTTCGAAGAAAATCATAGTGAGCGTGTGTTTTAAGTTCAAGTTTTCTAGGTTCTCCCCTCCCCCTCCACCCTATTACAGACGCTTAGCAACGGAGCCCCCTATTACAGAACCCCCCCCCCCCTCCCCATTACAGACTTTAGCAATTGAGAATAACAGGCGTCAGACTTATAATAGTGCGTAGGATTTTTTCAATTTGTAGAAATTTCGACACATGAACTTCAAAAATTAGTACCAATTTGAGATTTGTCACTTCTTGATTTTCAATCCAAAAGTTCACAAATTTATTAATTACACATACTTAACAACAATAAATATTCCAAAAAAAAAGCAAACAATATATTTGTATATGAAAGTTAAACATTAAATCTAATATCAAAATATAATTGTCTATTTGAAACAAATTGAAATCTTTTATGAAACATTAAGTTTATTATTTGTATAATAATTTTCAGTATTTATTTTTTTTAAATACTTGAAAATCTTTTTTTCTTTTTTCCTATTAATGATGTGCGATAAGAAATTTGATTATCAATTTGATTATTTTTTGTTAATCTTTGAATAAAATTTATTTTCGATTTTTTATTTTTTTGATTTGTTAATGAATGATGATAAATATGATATAATTGTGTATCATAATTATTTATTCTATTATTTATTAATTGTTGTTGATAAGGATTATTTGATAAATTTGTTAAAATAAATGATGTACGATCAAGTGACATTATACGTGAACGTTGACAAGAATTTACTTCATCATTTGAACATGTACGACAAATCATTTGTCGACATGTACGAGCAAATTTTTCAGATAGAAAACAATAAAGTATAAAATCAATTGAAGCATTTATACAAAGAAATAAATTTGCAAAATTATTAAATATAAGTAATATAGTTCGACGTTCAGGTGGCATTTCCGAATAACTTTCAATTAATGTTTCATATGTTAATGATAAACTTTGAGGTGTCCATAATAATAATGCAACAAATAAACAAAATATTAATACAATTGTTACTTTACGTTTTTGAACATACGAACGACTATGACGGCGTAAAGGAAATGAATAAGAATTTTTTAATGGAATATTTGATGTACATAAAAATGATGTTTTATGATAATTATTTGTCGAATAGTCAGATTTATTTATTGATAATACTGATGAATTAGGAAATGTGTTGTGGACAGCTGTTAATTGTAGACAACCATTAAAACGGCGAGAATGATGAACATACCTTTTGTTTGTTGTATAAAGAAAAAAAAAGAAAATTTGATAGTAACATTTGAGTATATCTTTATCTGAGATTATTCAGTTTAATTAAATCTGATTTTGTTTTGATAAAAATATTCTATGAGTTATAATTTTATAAGAACAGAATTACTATGTTAAAATTTCGTTTTTATTTCGCAGATAATATTACAAGAACTTTATACTTTATGAGAAAGAGAGATCTATACATGAAACAGAATATATGTGAGCTTTTATCTTGCAAGTATTGTAAACAGGTCTAACATAACGGTCAGTTACAAGAACATTTTACGATTATTTTATTATAATCAAAATAAATAGAAGTGATCTTTTTAGTATGTAAGTTGGGTTCTAAATAATACTACGATCAAAAAAATTGTGATATCTCCGCTTCGGTTCATTCAAATGGATTAGATACTATTGTTAACTTCGTTCGAGAAATTTGGTCTGTTTTTTAAAGAAAACACATGTGTGGCACTGCGAAGTAGTTTTCAATTATTATCTAAGAGATTAAAAAGAAGAAATGAAAACAAACTTTATGGATGATATTACAATGATGCATGGAGAGTAAATTTTCATGCTGAAGTCTTATAAACTCTCTAGAAGTTCATTTCAGTCTCATGAAATCTTCTGAAGCCATTTGAAATCTTGTGAGGTTTCTTGATAATTTGAAGCCTTCTGTTTCTCAGTCAATTGAAGCCCTTTAAGCACTAAATATTACAATTGTTGACTTTTAAACGAACTAGTCCTAAAGGTTTACTCTATGTGATCCATTTTAATATCATTCATAAAGTTCGTTTCGATTTCTTGTTTTTTATTCTTTTAGATAATAACTGAAAATTATTATGAAGTGCTACACATAAAGCTGTCACAAAAAATTCCGAGACACGCAAGAATGGTTCTTCAAAATCTTATATTTCATTCTAATTAAAGTTTATACATATATATGCTAAGTGTTGTTAATGGTTAAGTGTTTGTATTATGAAGTTTTGCGTCGACATAATATAAAACGAGAGTTTAATCAGTAAATATACTTATAAGGTATACGAAGTTTAGTTCTAGTGGAATATAAAATTTTGGAGAGCCATTCTTCAGTGTCTTGGAATTTTTCTGAGGGCTGTATTTAATCAATTCACATCAGAAAAAAAAATTGTAAAATTTCTTTGGATTGTTTTTTTTAGAAAAGTATACATATTATTCTGTAACACAATTTTCTTTTTTACGAATCATTTTTCCTGTTATTTCTTGAAAGAGATAAAGAGAACAAAATGACGTGCAAAAAAGTTTCATATAACTTTTTTCTGGATCTCATAAATTTTTTTCTAGGGATTGTCTGTGTCAAATGAAAAAGAAATAGAATCATATTAAATATTTATTTTCTTCTAAAATTAGCATATCAATATAAATTTGTATTTAAATTAGATACGATATATCTTTTTTAGAAGACTAAGAAAATTTCAAAAAAACTTCATTCTCAGGAGTTCAAAATTTAAAATGTATCTTTTTGTATGCAGCTTATTACATTAACATCCGTGTTCGCTGCAATATTGAGACACTACCTCTATCAAAATATACCCTTGTCTTACTAGTGTATTCCAATGCTTTAGTGAACATTAGTGCTAGTGTGCAATGAATCGGTGCCGTCGATAGTCTATAAATTGTTAATTCACTTCCCTATGCATAGAATAGAAAAAATGATTAAGACATTTGAAATTTATGTCAATTTACTAATATTAGAAGTCTGTTTTTATTCATAATATTTTTCGTGCATTGAATGATGATAAAGTGAGACATAATTTATCCGAATTAATGTTTTCTCAAATTCAATTAATGATGAAATCAAATACAAATTCACTTTTATACTTTTCTACTTAGCAAATCTCTTTAGAATATACTAAAATTACAATAAATATGTAGAGCACAAGTACTCAGGCATGCCCCCTTTTATAATATGTATCTATAATAATCTTTTTCATTAATGTTTTTTTCATCTGGAAAGAAGTCATATTGAGTTTGTAGAAATTTTCATAGGAAATCATGGTTGAAAATACTCTTCTTGATGTTTTTTTTAAAGAAAGGATAATTAAAATTTCTTTAGTTTTCGTTTTAACTTACCATATTAGAATTGAATTACAGATACAAACTAAAATAAGTGGTATCCATATAATAATAACACAAATAAATACTAGATATGAACGATGTAATATAACAAAAAATTCTTTTCGTTTTGTTAAATTTATATTTTGTGTTATGTTAAAAGTAATATTTCTATTTTCAACGTCATTTATATTACTTATGAAATAATTTTCAAAATAAGTTGGTAATGTTATTAAAAAACATATTATTAATAAAGTACATATGACATGACGTGATCGTCGTACTGAACATGTACGTTTAGCATAAATAGGTTTTGCTACAGCTAATGTGCGTTCAAGAGTGAAACAAACAATTAACCATGTTGCTGTATTTGAACTAAAATCAGCCAAAGGACGTAGAAGAAATAATAATGTTTGTGTGAATGCACTTTGAGAAAATGTTGGATGTGAACCAAAATTAAGTATCAATGTAATTATTAAATAACATGAATCAAATGCAGCTAATATTGTTAAATAATTATTTGTACTTGTTCGTATAAGACGACGTCGTGTTAAAACAAGTATTGATAAACAATTACCAGTTAAACCAAATAAAGCAAATAATGGCCATATATAAAATTTTACAATACAACGTACATTTGTTAAAAGTAAAAAATTTCTTTCTATTACTGTAGTATTATCAATTATATAATTATTAACCATTGTTAATAATAAGAAAACTTATCTAAATTACAAGAAAATCATAGAAAAAAAATTGTATCTATAAGACAGAAAAAAAAGAATTTCTTATTTTAATTTTATTCTATATGAAACAAACATGTGTCTACTTGTAATTCTAAATTCTTAATACTGAATGGCTCTAGATTTTTTAATTGCTATCCTTAAGAAATATAATTAATAATCCGGAAGTTAGTGACTGGAGAACAAATAATTATCAACATTAAATTTAACTACGTAATTTTCATTTATTGTCATAACCTAACCTGTTTAAAAATGTCGAGTTACAGATTGTATACACATATTCAAGTTAATATTCAAATTCTTGTGATCACAACAAAAAGCAAAATCTATATAAAATCAAATGGATAAGAATTAGAATAAGTATTGATACAGAAGGGAAAAAAAAACATGTCACTGCTGAAATCCATGTATATGTGAATTAATTAAAATAAATTATTTTTACTATCGATTCATTCACACTTGCATGTCAATTGGCTCAACAATTACTCAGTAGATAGCTAAATTTATTCATCTATGAAAAAATGTAAGAAGCTAAACTGTTTTCTTATTGAATCCAATAGGAAATTTTGATTTTGCTACTTGCATACAAATATCAAACATCTTTACTGTTCTCGAGATAACCATTTATTTATCAAGATTGATATATAGAACTGTAAAGTAACTTCTACTTACTGTTTATTAAGAAATTTTATAAAATTAATAATACCTTATATTATTTACGAGAATTCATCCTTAAATAATCTTGTCTAGACAAATGTTTAAAATAAAATCTTTCTTTGAAGTAAAGATAGATTAATCAGCACAACATTATTATAAAGACAATGAAAAGACAAAAAATAATGGATAGTACTATGTTACATCTTAACGTGTATTACATATTTAATAACATGCAAAAATGATTTCGTTCTTGTTTTTCATATATTATTACGAATAGAATCATATGTTACTCAAATATTTCTAAGGGGTACTTTAAATTTGTATTACAAATTTGGAAAATATTCTTTTATAGAAATAAGAATCATTTACCGTTTCACATTTTGTTAAATAAAGATTAATAAGAATATAAAGTCGAAAAAAAAAATTACTGGAACAATGATTGGCATCTATGCACTGACATATTAAATATCTCAGTACTGCATAGAAACGATATTACTATTTTTTATGTAAGAATGTTCAATAAATTTTTTATAGAATTACATTTTTCTCACATATATTTATAGCTACGAATATTTGTAATATAACACATCTTATATTACTTGTTACTTCTATTTAATTATATTTTATTCCAATAGGTATCTTTTCAATGAATTACAAACTTGAATGAATTTGAATAATACTCGAATTATTTAAGGCATTCTTTTGAATATATATAATTAAAATCAATCTACTCTAGTTTTCTTCTTTACATGTAATAATTGAAATTCAGCTTATAAGAACTTAATAATAGAATCTTCTCCTTTTTTTTTTGTTTTTTTCAAGTATGTGGATTGTAAATGCAAGAATAGAAAAACACATATTACTTTCTATCACTATTAGGTTTTTGACATCATGCGATGGACATAATTAAAAGTTGTGTGAGTTGCAATTTTTAATTATTTATAATTTTATCAAATGTTTTTTGTTTAGATTGAATCTGATTGTTTTACTAAAGATTATTGAGTACAAAGTCTAAGGAAAATGGTAGATGTAGAATTACACTCATATTAGATTATATTACATAATTAATAATACAGAAAATATTTAACAGTGAGATAAACTTGACAAAATGTTGTACTCGATGACTCTTTTTGTCTTTATATTCAATTTGTAAGCAGACTCTAGTCAATTATTTTTAATATTTAAAGTACTAATCTTTAGTTCAAATATACGTTGAAGAAGAATATTTTTTTAATCATTCATCATTACCAATTCAAATGGAATTTGTTAATACATGATTACTTGACTATGAAAAATTCATATTTCATCAATAATGACAGATGAGAGACACAATGAATTAGACTAAATGTAAATGTACTTTTCTTCTTATTTAAGTTGATACACAATATTCATTCGTATATCAAAAGATAGAGAATTTCAAGCTGCACAAAACTAAGCACTTCATTTTTAGAAAGAACATTTTACCTTTGCACAACAACCCAAACATTTATATATCCTGTAGGTACTCAATGCAACGCATTCATTGCTTGTGCTTTACAAAAAATATGGAGCATCTCGAAAGCAAACAATTTTGTACTTTATTTAACTAATTGATTTTTGCATATTCAAGCTGCACTGAGAAATTGAAAATCTCCTTCTTGGTGGTGTTTTAAACAACGAAGATTTTTTTTTTGAGTTAAAGTTCAGTTGCAAAATTCTTATTTAGATACTGAAAAATGCAGAATTTCGTTTTCTATAAAGACTAGGTGATTGATAAATCGCAGTGCAACATTTATTCAGCAAAATTCAGGAAAAACCGAGCAGGTACTGAAATGGATATAAAATTTTGTTTAATTTCACAGTGGGGATAAACAGTATATCTTGGTGTATTGGTTACTTTGAAATCAAAAAAAGTTCTTTATAAAAGTGAACTACGCAGTTTTGTAGAGTTTGAAATTTTTCATCTTTTGATATATCTAAGTAAGTATTTTATATGAATAGTAAATGACTGAAAAATTGCATTTACAAATAGACCGATTTATTATGACCCAACGGTTAATAATAATAATTTAACTACTAATGAATGCTGAATACTTTCATGTCATTGACTAAAAATTGTATCAATAAAGATGATTTTATTTTATCAAGAAAAAAATGAATTTTTATAGATTATGTATGAAATATTATTTAGATGTACAGAAGTATTTTCAAGTCATTTAAGCAGTTATAGATAATAAAATTATCAACTCACTGTCATTAAAATCAAATGTCTTTATTTATTGAAATGAAAGATCTTTTTTTTATGTTAATCGAATATGCATTATTTCGAAAAAATTCGAATAATTTTAAATAACAGAATAATATCTTTCCTTCTTTTTCTACTACAATTTTCTAGTTGTGCTCCGGAAAAAAAAGATTCCTATCTACGTATATTGGAAAAATTTGACAATAAAAACAAGATAAATATTATTTTATATTAAAACGATTTATAAATTGCTTTATAATAAAAGATATATTCGTATTTTGGATAGAGAATTGTGATTTTTTCTTAATCAAAACGATAGTAATTAGTAAAATTTCTCTCAGACTGTTTCTATTTTTAAAGTTATATTGAGCATTGTTTGAATACTGCTTAATTAAACCGTATTATTCGGATATT